ACACAAAGTAAATAAAGAAGGAGGAGAACCTCAAACCATCAGCAGAAGGTTGGGCTTTTACATATTTCTGACTCATCAGACTTGGTTTCCAGAGAACCTTTAATGAATCTATAAAAGAACCAAAATTCGTGATTGTTTTTTGTGACAGAGGTTCGTGTGTTTCAACAGAACATTCTGCGTTTTGTAGTTTATGGAAAGTCCAGACTGTCACCATGTTCTGGGTCTGACCAGGTGGACGTGGACCTTTGCTCAGGCCGTCCGTCGCCGCTCTGCCCTCTGCTGCCCTGCATGGCTGATGGAGATCAACGTAGTGTTGGATAAAGCCTGTTAGTGCTCTGCCATGAATCTGTACAGAATATTTACACCACTGGGTTCCTACATGGCACTGGGCAGGTCGATGTGAAGGTTTACTCTCACATAAAGACAATACAATCAACATGGTTACGCTCAAGTACAGGTTAGTAATACAAATGTAGCGTCAGCACTATGGAGGGAGGACCACTTCAATAATCATAATGAGAATAATAAGGATAGTAATAGACTTTTTAGCTTCCTAATGCTGTTTTTGTCCCAACAGGAGTTTTTTTAAAAAAACGATCCACGCTATTGGGAGTCATCGTCAGTACATTCAGTCATATCATCATCATCATCATAATACACGACCATAAATGTGCATTTTATAAAGTCAGGCCGCGGCCGGCTGAGTGGAGGTTGTTTTTTTTTATTCGCGCCGCTGGCTTCTGTCAAAACTCTGCAAAACCGAAAGCTTCAAAAGTCAAGTGATTCTGGATTTATACAGGTAGTTCCTCCTTCACAAAGGTCCGGTCCTGCTCTGTGTCCGTCCGTCTGGCGGCTCCTCTGTGATGACTTATAAAACTGGTGGTTGTCATTAGTAAGAAATGAAAGAGGTTTTTTTTTTTTTAAACTTTTTTTTTTGTTCTCTGCCTCTCAGCGAGGCGAAGCTTATTCAACACCATGGAATTGATGTCTGATAAATCTGCCGTTCCTCATGTGAGACGTGGTCACATGGTCCTACTTCTTCCCTTCGCTGTCTGTGGAGACAAACACAGAGAAACAAAACACAGACGTTCAGCCGGAGCTGTCAGGAAGGCGGCAGCATCAGCGCTGGGTGGAAGCAGGTCTTTTGAGATGAACTCAGGACGTCTGTTTGATTTCTGTCCCACTTTTTCTTACGTCATGGAAACTTAAAAACCTCACGAGATCCTGCAGGCAGCTGCAGCTCTCAGAGCCAGACCGGCTGCTCCACTTCAGGGCATGAAGAAGTGGTTTTCCGCTCACGGTGCTTTAACTGCCTCCAACATTTACAGCCCTGAAACCGTCTTTCTGTGTCCACAGCGGTGAACGTCCACCGGCTAGCTAACAAAACACCAACAACCAGTAGAGACCGGATGTAAGTGTAGAACGATGGAGGCTCAGCAGGTCCGTCTACAGCTCACACTGCCACAACACTGAATCTGTCAGACAAGTTTTATGATGTTCTTCAGAAGTTTACGTCCACTAACTAACCCTAGCCCTTCAGACTACCTGGGAAAGCCCAGACCACGACGGTTCAGTCACAATGTTTGTGTTTTTTTGTCTCATTTGTGTTGTTTTGTTTGTGTGTCTGTGTCAGTTTTGTCTTCTTGTTGTCATTTTGTGTCTTGTTTTTGTCGTTTCCTTTTTGATTCATGTGCTTTTTCTGCAGCTTAGTGTCTCGTTTGTGTTGTTTTGTGTCTTATTTTTGTTATTTTGTTTGTGTCTCTGTGTCAGTTTTGTCTCCTTTCTGCCGTTTGTGTGTTGTTTCCATGAGTCTCCTGCTGGTAAATCAGTTTGTACGTCGTGTGTTTTTGTCATTTTCGATCTTGTTCTTCTATATTTATTCAGCTTCACATCTTTTTTTAGTCTCAAAGTTTGTGTTTTTTGTGTTGATTCATGTCAGACACTTCGTGACGCCGTCGGTTCCTTCGGTGTTCTGCTGTGAACGGGTCTCACGTTGTTGAACTGTGTTCTGTAAAGCAGAACCGTGCTGGTTGGGTTTGGCTCCACGTCTCCAGTGAAGCATCGTAGCAGCAGAGCAGCAGAGCAGCAGCACAACGTTACTGATGGATGCCGACGTCTTCATGTCATCAATCAGTGGCCCAACGCTGGGCTCCACGGAGACCA